CTAGCCAAGTCCATATAGTTTCAGGTTCCAGCTCAATCACTGATATATTGGGCAGCTTTGCAAAAGTGACTTGGCTGTGCTTTCAGTTGTATTGTCTATGAAACAGGGATAATACTAGCATCTTGCAGAGTGTGGTCAGGCTTAGAGATAGTATAAGTAAGGCACGTCATACTGTGCCTGGAAAATGTTTGTCATTCAAATAACAACTGTTGTTAACAGCCAAGCTAGGACTCTTAAGTCTTCCTTTGCGACTTCTCCTAAGAGCCCGGTTGTGTCCTGGGGCAAAACAGAGCTTTGGGGATCCATAGCCAGAACAGAAAGCTCTTCTTCAAAGACACCTTGGCTGAAGACTTCAGCCATGTAGCTGGCCATGCCCTTCAAAGACATTCCTTGTCACGGATGTGCATGTCGGTGATGTCGCTCTCCAGCCAGGTGCTCTCCCAGCAGGCTGACGTGGCTGTCTTCTTCATGCCTGCACTCGTTTCTCTCCCTTCCCCCTCTCCTAGGCCTGGCCAGGGCTACTTGCAGCAAACAAAAGCAGGATATTTATTGGCAGCGGAAAGGAGAACGTGTTCTGGTGCTCCTGTGCCCTGTGGCGCACATACCATTGTGAGAGTGTAACAGGGCCCAGGCCTGCAGTGGGGTGCAAATATGCCTGCACCAGCTTTTCTCCACTGCAGACAGGAGGAGGGAAGGACCTGGTGACCATGAGCCACAGGACCCTCTCCTCCTCCTGCTAGATCTTGTCACTCCCACCATTTGCCGTTTGGAGACATTTGTTTACAAGGCTACTCTGCCAGGCCCTTTGCTAGGTGCTGAGTCTACTAAGAGTAAGTGGGACACTGTACCTACCCAGGTGCTTTAAGTCAGAAGGCAGGAAGAAGAAGGAAACCCTTACTTCTAGTGCTGGCCCTCTGCTAGGTACCTCACAGTCATTTAGAACCACATTTAACTCTCACTACTGCCCTGAAAATTTACATGGTGATGTTTGACAAATGAGAGACAAGCAGCTTGCCCAAAGTTACTTAGGTGGTAAGTGGTCTGAGATCACTCAGGTGGTAAGTGGTGGTGCTGAGATTTTAAACTTGGATCATCTGGTTCCAAAGCCTGTGCTCTTGCTTTTGTTGCAGAGGTTGCAAACCCAAATTGTCTCAAGAGCTAGCCAGGTAACCTAAGAGTGGATTAGGAAGGATAGGACAACAAACCAAATGGCCCTCTTGGTTTATGTTTAGTTTTTCTACTTCTGGTAGAGATGTGGTTACAGAAAATCATTTATTATGGGAAAGATAAGCACAATGGTAAATCACAACAGAGTTGGTCTTGGTGTCAAGGAGATGATTGGGGATGGTGAGGACTGTAGCTAATCAGAAAGTGCATTCCTCACCTAAAAGGTCACTGTAGCTCACCTCCTGCCAGTTGTTGCCACGTCAGTGTTCCTAATGATGAAAAATCCAGATTTTTATGTGAAACATCCCAACTTTTAAGTATTGATGAACGATTTTAAAATATCCATGACTTAGAATCTTTCTAGACCTGGCTTTGCCCCCTATCTTCTGTGTAGCCTTGAGCAAATCTCATAACCAATTAGAGCCTGTTCTTACAGCTGTAAAGTGTTTTCTTTCTGGGGATTGATTGTCACCGTGTGAGCATGAGGTAGCTGAGAGAGTGAGAGAGTAAAGGTAGCAGGACAAGCAATAAAGGGCTTCCAAACAGCCTGACATTTGAGCCGGGCCTGAAGGTTTCAGCAGGTGGAGAAAGGGGACTTACTTGACTTCAGAGTAGTTGGGAACCAGAAACTAAGATATTGGTGCTTTCTGCTCTGGCCTTGGTGTGCCCTGGGATCCTGGCTGGGGGGAGAGCTGTCAGCCTGATTCAAGTCTCAGGTTTTTGGTTTTGTTTTTTGTTTTTTTTTTCTGAGATCTTAGCAGACATGGTGGATGTGTGTGACATGGTTTCTGCCATCAGTAAGTCTATTATGTGAAGAATTCTCGATGCATGGAGCCATCAGAGACTAGTAGTGAATGACTTTGCAGTAAAGAAAGTGCAATACAGTTCTTGGCCAGAGCAAAACCAGACCTTACCTGGATTAAGTATAAAGTGCCGGTTGGAGAAGGCTAGAAACCCAGACTGGAGAGGTATGTGAGCCCGGAGAGTGAGGGACCTTCAATGTGAGGCTTAAGAATCAGGAAATCAGTATTGGCTGGATTTGGTAGAGAAAACTCATGGATTGGAGCTGGGTGCTGGGAGAGGGAGATGGGACGGCAGCTTGGAGTGGGTGGGAAAAATGTAACTATTCACAGAGCTAGGGGCATCTGGGGTATAGTCTTATCCCATCATTTCACAGAAGGGGCCTTGTCCAAGGGCACGTAGCTCCTCGAACTTGAACCCAAGTCTCTCTCCCGATTCAGAGCTCATCCAACGTGCCTTTTACTTTGAGAGGAGTTTGGGTCCTATGCCCAGGGTCTGTCCTCAGCCTTCTATACGTGGTTCTTACGGCACAGTTCTAGGCATTTCATATCCATACCCTTCCTGCCATACCAAGTGCTCAAGGCCTTGAAGTTCCGCATCCATAGGACAAGTGGGAAAAGCAACAGGATGGCAGTAGCCAGCAGCAGAGCCATCTGTGTGGTTGAGCACGCAGGGTAATTGGGCACTCCAAAGAGAAAGAGGGATTCTCAGGCTGCCTCTGCACCCACCTAGCTCAGCTTCTGCTTTCCACAGCTCCTTCAGTGCACTCCCATCTCCCTCCTCTACCCACTGTGGTGCAGAGTGGTAGCACTCATTGTGGCTGCTCATCTTGCAGTGTTAAGTTTTCTTTAGATGTTCTCTTCCTCAACTAGTTATAAGCTCTTGGAGGGCAGGATTGGGGACCTCGTGTTTCTGTCTTTTATATCTGCAGTGGCTAGCAAGTTACTATAACAGTGCAATTGCCCCCTCCACACTTTGTAAAAGGCTTTCTCATACATTAACTTACAGTTAACTCACAGTGGCTCTTTGTAGTAGCATGCTATTAGTTGCAGTTTTTCTATGAGGAAAATCTATTAAGAGTTGTCCAAAGCTACCCAGCTAATGGCAGTAAATGGCTAAAAGGTAAACTACAGTTATCATCATCTTTAGTTGCAGAAGACATTTATTGAGTGCCTGCTGTACTAGGCCTTTTATATAAACTATACTTTATACTTTAATACACACTATTTCATTTAATTTTCACAGGAATTCATTTTACAGATGAGGAAACTGTCAGAGAAGTTAAGTAAATTACCCAAGATGATGTAACTAGTAAGTGGCAGGGTCAGAATTCAATCTTAGAGCCATCCAGCTCTCTGCTGCCTCCCAGAAGCGAGGATGTGGCCAGTGTGAGTGGTGCCAGGCCTTGACAACAAGAATGAGGAATCTGCTAACTAGAAGGAAAGAAGTGGCACTGGGTAAGCAGGCCAGGAAGTTTTTAAGTCTGTATGCCGGTAGGCTCAGAATGAGAAGGAGGTTGTCTGTGTAGACCTGGCCTGAGACCAAACCCAGCCTGACTGAGAGGTAGAACTTCCCAACCAGGTGGCTGTCGGAGACCAGCTGTGGGTCCTCACATTTACATCTTGAGCTGTGCTAATGGAGTCTTTGTTTTCTCCCCCAATATTTTATTTTATTTTAAATAATATTCTATTGTGTTTTTGGTGAAGGTTTACAGAGCAGTATAGGTTCCCATTAAACAATCTCTGCACAGGTTGTTCAGAGACATTGGTTACATGCTTCACAAGGTGTGTGAAAATTCTCATTATTTCTATTCTTGTTGTTCCATTTCCATTAGTCTAGTTTCCCTGCTCCCTCACATTGTCATCTTTGTTTTAAAGTAATTGTTGACCATTGGAATCATATCGGTGATTTTTTAAGGGAGCACAGTACTTACAAGTGATACTCATTATTTTTTTAGCCATTTGTTAATTAGCTACAAGGTGACCTCAGGGATCCCAATATTGTATTTTGACAGTTTTCAAATCTACAGAAAAGTTGAAAAAATAGTTCAAAGACCATCCATGTGCCCTTCATCTAATCTAGATTCATAATTTTTAAACTATTTGCTACTTTTCTCTCTCTCTGTCTGTATCTATATATATATACATTTTTCTGCTGAACTCCTTAAAAGTAAGCTGTGATCATCTTGAGTCTTTACCTTTAAATACTTTAATATGTTTCCCTAAGAATTCTCCTACATAACCAAAGTATCGTTATCACAAGAAAATTGACAATAATTTCATAATATAATACGTAGTCCAAATTCAAATTTCCTCAGTTGTTCAAAAAAAATGCCACTCACAGCTGTTTTTTGTCCACTCCAGAATTGAATCCAAGATTCAGGTATTATGTTTGGTTGCTATGTCTGTAGGCTTTTTAAATCTCTGTCCCTTTTTCCTCCTGTGACATTAACTTTGGAAGAGTCATGACCAGTTGTGTTATAGAGTGACCCACATTCTGTACTTGCCTGATTGCTTCTTTATGATTAACATTGATTTAGCAAGAATACTTAACGTCAGCAATGCTGTCAGAGATTGGTAGGTTTTGAAGAGTGGAGGTGATTGAGCTTCTTTGGTTCATTGAGAAATCTGTCTAGACCTGAGGTTTTTAACTGGAACCATAAGTAGGATTCAGGGGATCCTTGATACCCTCTCTCTATCCCCCCGCAAAAAAGTATACGTACACACATTTTCTTTGTATGTGCATTTTTCTGGGGGAGGCTCCTTGGCTTTCATCAGACTCTCAGAGGACTCCAAGACCCAAAGAGGTGGTCTAACAGCTGAGGTAGGCAGCACAGCGCTGGTTTCTGGGGCTTGTTCACTCTGAACTGGCTTACCTTGAGGAGATGCCTCTGAGGTGTAATTTTCCCCGATCCTGGCTTTGGATCAAAAAGGGGACTGTCCATTTTGTTGGTAGGCCTGGGAGCCAGGATAGCCTATGTGGCCTGATTTCCAGGGACCTAGGAGAGTTTTTGTGCTTGTCTTGCCTTCCAGGTGTTCCGAATGCCAAGATTCCCTCACTAATTGGTACTACGAGAAGGACGGGAAGCTCTACTGCCACAAGGACTACTGGGGGAAGTTTGGGGAGTTCTGCCACGGGTGCTCCCTGCTGATGACAGGGCCCGTCATGGTGAGTGAGTCCCTTCATCTTGGCCCCTCATGGTCATCAGAGTCCATTGGCAGTACCTCTGCTTCCCCGTGGCCTGTCATCTTTCTGGTCTTCCCATCAGCCAGGGTTTCCCCCCTTTATTTATTCATTCACTCAACAGATGTGTGTTGGGAATCTCTTAAGTGCCAGGTGAGATCCCTCCCTCAAAATTGTAAGTGTTGGGAGTGGGTGGGTAGGTGGTCAGGGAGGAGACACATGCATTGGGGAGAGTATTACAGGTCAAGAGGATGACACACCTAAATTGTGTTCAAGGAATCAAAGGGAGACCCTGGAATGGGCTGGCAGAGAGAAGTTCCACCTCCTGTACCTGTTCCAGACAAAGGGATTTAAGACATAGTCACAGACTTGTCAACCCTGTGTTGGAGGGATTGTGAGCCTTTCTAGTGGGGATGATTACTTCTGGGACTTGTTCTCATGGCTGAGACCAAAGCAATTTTTTGTAGTCTCAGAAATGACAGGGAAGGCAGCAATCTGAATTTTTCTCTGGCAGCTTTAGGGGAGGGGGTAAAAGGGTAGATTATGACTGGGGTCTGTAGGTCCTTGATCAAGGGTCACTCACCCCACCGCTGCTTCTACTCCAGCAACAGCAGCTGGGCCCAGTCCTCCCTGACAACTCACTTCCTCCCTCACCTGCTCACAGGTGGCTGGTGAGTTCAAGTACCACCCAGAGTGCTTTGCCTGTATGAGCTGCAAGGTGATCATCGAGGATGGGGACGCATATGCACTGGTGCAGCACGCCACCCTCTACTGGTAAGAGGGTGACCCTCTGTCCATCCTCCCCATAAGCGTGGCCAGGGGAGAGGTACAGGTGGCAGTATGGGATGGTCAGAACACTGGATTCCTATCATAGCAATGCTCAAAACCAGCTCTATAGCCTGTAAGCAAGACAGTTGATGTCTCTGCCCTCTATTCTTACCCACCATTTCACAACACTCTGCCCCAGAGGGAGAGAATGGCGGGAAAGGCACTCCCCAAGGAGGATCCCAGAACAGTAAAGGCAAAGCCCCTTAGAGCTCACCCAGTCTAACTGCCACAGTTGACAAAATAAAAGAAGTCAGACTGAAGCCGAGAGAGGAGAAGGGGGCTGGGGCAAGAACAAAGAAACAAGCCAGGCCACCTCACCCCTGGCCAGTACACCACTCACTGCAGATCCATCACACCACCCTCAGCCCCAGCCTACCCTAGGGAGCCCAGACTCCTCATTCTGAACGACTGTCTGGAATTATGGCAAAGAGGGTGGTAGTGGGTCTGTGGATAGTGTTACTTGAAGCCACATGGTGCTGGAGGAGGGGATCCAGGTGGGGCTTCAGAATCTTAGACCACTTTATGGCCCTTCTCACCAGTGGGAAATGCCACAACGAGTTGGTACTGGCACCCATGTTTGAGAGGCTTTCCACGGAGTCCGTACAGGACCAGCTGCCCTACTCCGTCACGCTCATCTCTATGCCAGCCACCACTGAGGGCAGACGAGGCTTCTCCGTGTCCGTAGAGAGTGCCTGCTCCAACTACGCCACCACTGTGCAAGTAAAAGAGTGAGTATTTGCAGGACTGATTGACCCCACATCTGCCCAGGGAGCCTGGAGCCACTGGAGAAAGGGTCCTTGAGCAGAGTCCATAGATGAGCCTCAAGGGGCTCAGAAAGCTAGTCTTGTAAGAGCTCCCTTCATCCTCATCTCATGTCTTTTTCCTGGAGCTTACTATGCTGTTATCACACCTGGGCCTTGGCACTTATGTTCTCTCTGCCTAGATACTAAAGACCAGAATCTGCTCATCTTTCAGGTCTCAGGTTTCAGGGAGTGTTTGCTCTTCGAAATTATCTGATTTGATTATGTGTATTGGTTTGTTTATCATCTGCCCTTCCCACTAGAATGTAAGTTCCAGAAGGGACTTTGTCTTGTCAGTACAGCACGCCTAGGACTTGGAACAATGCCTGACACATAGTAGGTGTTTACTGATTATTGTTTGGTTGGTTCAGTGAATGTGAATGGAGGAAAGAGGAGAAAATGGAGTCCATGGCCTGAAAAAGGTTAAGACCCTATCCTAGATCCAAGACACAGACCAGATGGAGAAAGAGTCTGCATCCAGCTATTACTAATGATGAGGCACCTCTGGCGCTTATTCCCTAAATCATTATAGTGCACTTACTCTGTGCTGGGAGCTGGGCTGGTGCTTGCAGTACAAGTGAGAGGTACTAGGTTTGGAAAAGTCAGAGGAGATGAGGTCTGTTCTAAACCCTCATTAGATGAAATGGGGAAGGAATTGTGTTCAGGACCAAGGGGGCAGCATGTCCCCAGAGGTGGGAGTCTGTGGTGGTGTCTGGTATAGACTGGGTGGTTGGAAGTAGCTAGAGGGAGCCTGGATTATGAAGACCCAGCAAGGTCCATTGAGGGGTTTAAGCACGGATGTGATGCGACCAGATTAGCGTTTTAGAAGGATTGCTAGTGTGGAGGTTGGATGGAAGGGGATTAGCCTAGAAGTGAAGACACCAGTCAGGAGGCTGTTGCAGTGATTCAGGGGAAAGATGTGGTGACCATGATAATGGAGAGCCGTGGATAGACCAGCACATTCTCAGAAGGCAGGATTCTCAGAGATGGTGGAGTAAGGGAACTCAAGATGGGGAGGATGATACCCAGCTTTCTGGCTTAGGCCACTGGGTGAGTGGCGATGCCCTTCACTGAAATAGGGCACCTCTGGAAAGTGATGGCCTGGGCCTTTGGGCCAGTGGCAGGCCGGGGGCCTTTGAGCCTTCCTGCATAAGGGAAATTGGCTGGCCATGTCTTTAGGACACCTTCATCCTGCCTCACTTCCTGCCTGATACAGGGTCAACCGGATGCATATCAGTTCCAACAACCGCAATGCCATCCACCCTGGGGACCGCATCCTGGAGATCAATGGGACTCCTGTCCGTACACTGCGAGTGGAGGAGGTAGAGTATGTGTCCAGGCTGTCTTGTGGGGTGGGACATGGAACAGATCCTCTGGGAGATCAGGCTGTGGCCTTTAACTTCCCCACCCTGTCTCTTTGTCTCGGCACTGAGCCTGTGACTACTAGTGACCTTGTGTATCAGCCCGGTATGTTCTCAGGCCAGCAGAGATGCCAGGCAGAGAGCACTGTGGAGCTACTGGGAGCTGGAGGCCACCATTAGCTACGCTGTGCTTGGATCATCTGGGCCAGGGTGGGTGGTCCTGGGATGGGGCATCCTGTGGGAGCCAGCCTTACACTGCTCTTGACCACAGGTAAAGGACAGGATTAGCCAGACGAGCCAGACACTTCAGCTCTTAATTGAGCATGACCCCGTCTCCCTGCGCCTGGACCAGCTTCGGCTGGATGCACGGCTCTCTCCCCACATGCAGAACGCTGGCCACTTCCCCACCCTCAGCACCCTGGACACCAAGGAGAACCTGGAGGGGACGCTGAGGAGACGCTCCTTGAGGTGCCACCTCCCACCCCTGCTCTGTTGCATCCCTGTGCCATCCCTCACATGAGGCAGATCCCAGTGGAGTTAGGGAGGGAACTGGCTGGCAGGGGCTGGGCTGTGAGGATTGTGCTGACCCAGCTTCCACTCTGGGGATCATTGTTCATCACCAGGGCTTGTGCATGATCTGACCCAGCTGTCTGCCAGGTTTCCTTAGAAACCAAAGGTCAGGCTCTGTCCACTGAGCTCCTGAGCTGGATGGGAGGTAGCAGCATGGCCTGTGGGGGAAGTGTGGGACTCAGAGCCTGGAAATAGGGGCACACAAAGGATATACAAGGACTCTGACAGCCGTAAAACAGGAGATGAGCACAAGTTGTTTCACACTTGAGAGAGACCAACAGCCCAGACCTCAGGGTCTGCCAGGCCCATGGCGAGGGAGCAATCTCCCTAAGGGCAAGCCCCAAGAGGGAGACTTACAGGAGTCAAGAGCACCAGCCCTCAAGGCAGACTAGCCATCTGGGCTTCGAGCTGAGCTCCCTGCACAAATGACTTCATCTGTCTGTGCCTCGGTTTCTGCATCTGTGACATGGAGTTGCAAAATAAAGGTGGCTCTCTTGCTCAATTATGTAAGGATTAAATGTGAAAAGGACACAAAGAAGTACAATGCTTAGCATAGGGTCAGCACTCAGTGAATGGGAAATTAGATTGTCTTTCTCCGCTATCCTGACCAAACAGCCTGAATCACTCAGAGCCCTCTTGGCTGGCATCTCCTGGAAACGGCCTCCCTATGGTGGTTCCCCTTACTTCCGGCTGCACTTGGCCTTGGTGGCATGAATGAGGTGGTGAAGGCAGAGCAGAGAAGGCCTAGGAATGCACGGCCTGAAAAAGGGAAGGTGTAGGGGCAGCAAGAGAGCTGCTCATGTATCTGGAGGGCCATCATGCAGGAGAGGGGACAGCTCTCCTGAGTGCTCCGGTGGGTATGGTCAGTGGGAGGCAGAGAAAAAGAGTAGGGCAAGCAAGCCTAAGCCAAGTAGCCAGCCAACCTCCGTCCTCTCCGGGAAACCCAGTAAAACAGGAACATACCACGGAGAGAAGTTTCTGGGGTTGCAGTTCACCTGCATTGCTGTGGACTTCAGCCTTCTTGTTCTTTCTTCAGTAAGTCAAAGTAACAGTCATCTGCCATTACTATTATTTGCTGCTCTTAAAAATGTAATAAGTCATCTTGAAAAACCAGACCAAACCCGTTGCTGTCAAGTTGCTTCCGACTCATAGCAACCCTATAGGACAGAGTAGAACTGCCCCATAGGGTTTCCAAGGAGCACCTGGTGGATTTGAACTGCCAACCTTTTGATTAGCAGCCATAACTCTTAACCACTACACCACCAGGGTTACTGTTATAAAAATCATACACGCTTATTATTTTAAAATTCAGGAAATATAGACAGGTACAAAGATACGCAAAATGTCATTTGCTGATTTTTTGGATGGGCTGCTGTTATTGGAGTCCCTGGGTGGTGCAATTGGTTAACACACTTGACCGCTAACCAAAAGGTTGGATGTTTGAGTCTACCCTGAGGTGCCTCTGAAGAAAAGCCTGGCAGTCTACTTCTGAAAAATCAGGCATGAAGACCCTGTGGAGGACGGTTCTACTCTGACACACATGAGTCAGAATCAACTCCATGACAACTGTGGTGGTCGTAGTGGCATGCTGTCATTCCAACCCAGTCAGTACCTTGAATCAAGTAGATGTGGAAGATGGTGGGCTCCCATCTCCAGTATTATCAAAAAGTGAGCATTATAAGCTAATAGATGCTGGCCAGTTGTTTCAGGTGGGAAGTACTCAGGGTTCCCATTTTGAATGTTTTTACTAAGTGTTTTTGAATTGCTGATATCTGCAACCCCAAAAGGGGCACATCTGTCTGATGTCAGAGCCTTCTCCCTCATCTCAGCACACTGTGGAGACTGAGAATTGGAATTGCCCAAGGTTTCTTCCTCCATCTTTTCCTGGCGGATCTCTGAGGCCTGCCGTACCCCCATCCCTGCTTGTCCTCAGGCGCAGTAACAGCATCTCCAAGTCTCCTGGCCCCAGCTCCCCAAAGGAGCCCCTGCTGCTCAGCCGGGACATCAGCCGCTCAGAATCACTCCGCTGTTCCAGCAGCTACTCACAGCAGATTTTCCGGCCATGTGACCTCATCCACGGGGAGGTCCTGGGGAAGGGCTTCTTCGGGCAGGCCATCAAGGTGAGCACAGACAGTGGCTGCTTTGCTCTTCTATTCCCTACCCCTCTCTCACCTGCTCTCTGGAGTTCTCATCCCATGGCCTCACCCCTACCCCTGCAGAACACCAGGCCTCCTTCCTGGCTCTAGGTGGGAGTCCTTGGAAGGCTTGGTGATGGGGTAAGGAGTTGCACCTTCCCTCAGGCCACCTAAGGGCAACATTGCCAATTCAGTGAGCTTGCTGGGCCTGGAGTCTGGGTTTAGGGTGAGCTGTACCCAGGGCCCCTGTGTCTCCCATCATTGGGTGTTTATCAGGTGCCCACAGGCCTCTTGGTGCTGGGCCTGCTGTGAGGAGCACACAGGAGTGGCTCCCGCCTCCCTGATGAGCAGTCTCAGGGACTAACCTCTCTCTCACTCTCTCTCTCTTCCCCTCTGCTGAGAGCTGGGAGGGGGGGCCAGGTAAGCAGTGCATATCAGCTTGGGGGGCAGTGGGGCTGGAGAGTTTGCCCTAACCTACCCAGCTCCCTGGCGCATGTCTTTGGCACTGACCCTCGTGTCCCCAGACCCTCACCAGAACAACCCAAGGGACTCACTCCTGTTCCAGATAACCACAGTCCCTGCTTGGCTTGGCAGCGTCCCCTCCTGGCCCCTTCCCCAGCCCCCTTTTCTGGATTCTCATTCTCCTCTGTGCATGCCCAGCTCTCCAGGGAAGAGGGTATACTCCTTGCTGAGGCCCCTGTTGCTCCCATGCTGTATCTTCCTCATATGAACTCTGTCAGTGTCATCAGGCTCAGTGTGTCCCCCAAAGGACGGGATGACCAGTTGCTAAATTTTCACAAACTCCAGAACTACTGCCTTTGGTCTCTGCACTATTAATAGTTGCCCTCCCCATAGGTGACACACAAAGCCACAGGCAAAGTGATGGTCATGAAGGAGTTGATTCGGTGTGATGAGGAGACACAGAAGACTTTTCTGACTGAGGTGAGAAGATGGGGTGGGTGGCTGGGAGTTTGGTGTCACCATTGGATGGGGAAGAACCTTACAAATAACAATTGAAAGAGGAAAATTGGTTTGGAATCACTGACCTGAAAACTGAGCGAAAAAGAGTTCCTGGGGAAAGCTCCTGCCCCCTATATTACAGCATAATTACTTGTTCATTGACCATTTACTACAGACATACAAGCTGGGTGGTGGGGATGCAATAACTAACAAATGGGTGATAGACATGGAAGCAGACCTGATTTTGTATAACCTGGTGCTCTAATCTGCCACCTTAACACCCTGCTAAGGGCACCTTGAGTGGGGCCACCCAGAGAAACAGACACCCCTGAGCATTTACACAGTTTTCACCGTGTCAGCTCCCCAAGTTGCTCCATTGCCATAGTCTTCAGTTGGCTACACTTTTCTGGGTGCTGTCCCTCCAGGTGTTTGCTTCACTCTTGGACCCACCCACTCCAGTTCCCCTGGTGCAGTTCCTAGAAAGGCAGGGTCCCCATTCACCTGGAGGCTCTTGACCCTTACCTGATCTGAATGCCCTGCCACATTACATAAGCTGGAGGTGGGAGATGTAGATAGCTCTTGCCAAACTGCCTCCTGAAGGGAAGGGATGAGGAAGGCATAATGGAAAGTAACCAACCCTACCTTCCCTCCCACCCATCCCCCGCCAGGTGAAGGTGATGCGTAGCCTGGACCACCCCAATGTGCTCAAGTTCATTGGCGTGCTGTACAAGGACAAAAAGCTGAACCTGCTGACAGAGTACATCGAGGGGGGCACGCTAAAGGACTTTCTGCGCAGTGTGGTAAGCACACCACCCCCACAACCACCAAGATGGTGGGGTTGTCAGTGGGACAGCTGTGCCACCACTTACCATGGAACCACAGTGGCCAGAGGGGCCCCCTGCTTTCCCCTACAAGGACCATGCCAGGTAGAGCTGGGCACAGGTAGGGAGGGTTCCCTGGAAGACTACAGTAACCCACAAGAGGACCACAGTAGGACAGGACCCGACAGCCTCTGATGGGCATTCTCCGATCCTGCAGGACCCGTTCCCCTGGCAGCAGAAGGTCAGGTTTGCCAAAGGCATCGCCTCCGGAATGGTGAGTCCCACCAACAGCCCTGCTGGAGAGGTGCAAGGATTATAGGACAGGCACTGGGAGGCAGAGGCCCAGTCCTGGGCAGCTTGTGTGGGATGGTTTTGTTCATTCAGCAGTTTTTTTATTGAGCTTCTCTCTGTGCCAGTGAAATTGCCCCCAACTGGCTGTTCTTAACTCACAGCCCTACTCACAAGGAATTCTAAGTCTTCAAGGGCAAACAGGGCACAGACAAGGCAAACAGGAGACGCAAACTGTAGCACTAGGTGGCCTGGGCTTCCTGTCACAGAGGTGTCTGGTGTTGATGGCCTTAGAGCAAGCAGAGGACCTCACCACCTAGAAAATCTGAGAAGGGGACATTGAGCTCTAGTTGAGAGCTGAAAGATGGCCAGATTTGGATAGAAGTTCCTGTTGGCAGGGAGGCCCCAATGTTGAGAGGATGACAGCAGCATAGGCCTGGGGGAAGGGAGGAGGAAATAGTCTATTCACCTGGGAAAGAATGGTACAAAGCAAAGCAGTAATACTAAGAGCTGACAGTTATTGAGTGCTTTCTATATGCCAGGCACTGAGCTGAGGGATTAACCTGCATGAGCATACTTATTCCTCACAACAACCCTGGTTTCCAGATGAAAAACTGAGGCTAAAAAAGGACAGAGCTGGGGTTCTGGGCCAGTCAGTCTGGCCCCTGAGCCTGAGATTTTAACTAATTCTCTTCATGTGAGGTCTGTAACAACAACACTGGAACAGTAGATTGGGGTAGATTAAGATATCTAGGTTTCAAGCTAACAAGTCTGGGATTCTTGTAGGAAGACAAAGAGACATGAAGGTTGTATAAGCAAGAACGTTTTGTGGCCAGAGCTGTCTTTTAGAAGATGAGTCTAGCGTGGTCAGTAGGTTGGGTGGACTTGGAGAGTCTCAGGGCAGCGAGACTGAGTAGGGGGGCTGATGAAATGCTTCGGGTTCCTGAATTAGGAGAGTGGCTATGGGAACAGGAGACTTGGGAGGCAAGGTGGAGTCAGAATGGAGAGACTGGTTGTCAGAAGGAATGGAGTAGGAGTTGAGGTGATTTGAGGTACCTAGAGCGCTGGTGGCGCAGTGGTTAAGTGCTCGGCTGCTAACTGAAGGGTTGGCTATTCAAAATCCACCAGCCATTCTGTAAGAGAAAGATGTGGCAGTCTGCTTCTGCAAAGATTACAGCTTTGGAAACCCTATGGGGCATTTCTCCTCAGTCCTGTTGGGTCGCTATGAGTTGGAATCAGGTCAACAGCAACAGGTAGAGGCATCCATGTGGTTGGGAGCGCTGTGTGTGAAGAGAAGATGTCTTTGAGTGGGGCTGACATTGAAGAGGCCTGAAGGGAAAACCAGGCCCACCGGCATCTGAGGAGCCGGTAGCATGGGAGAGGGTGGGGCAGCCTTTAGGTAGGAAGAGGTTAAAGTGTATATTCAAAGTGAGGAGGGTTAGGGTTAGTCAGGAGCACAGAGCTAGCGTGGACCAAGAGGAGGTCACTTCTTCCACTGTCACAGGCAGGAAGGATCCAAGGTGGGTGAAGCCAGAGATGGGAGGAGGGAGTAGTGCACCTGAGGAAGTCACTTCAGATGGCCTAGAGCTTAGTAAAATGAATGGGGCAGAGATGAAAGGGCCAGGGCCCAGTGGAGTTGGAGACTTTAAGAGAGGGCAGCGAGGGTAGCAGGGGTTGGGGCTGTGGAGCCCGGGTTGGGTTCCGAAGCTGGATAAGGATGCCTGGAGAACAAGTTCTGTGGCCCCAGTTCCAGGTTTGGGTCTGCTTGATTTTCTGGTCTTTGGCCTCAGCTCATGCTTGTGTTCCAGGCCTACCTGCATTCCATGTGTATCATCCACCGGGACCTGAATTCGCACAACTGCCTCATCAAGCTGGTACGCCTCAGAGGCCATCCCTCTTGGCTTTTTTTGTCACAAGGGAAGCTAACTGTCCCCCCTGGCTTCAGACCAGAAGCGTCCCCTGGGCCTTCTTTCTTGCCCCTCCTGCTGCCTCTGATGCCCTCCTCTGTCGTCTGAGAGCTCCCAGACACAGAGAAACACGATTCCACCTCCTCTTAGTAGCAGCCTATGAAATCGTTTACTTAGAAGGGACTCAGAAGCTCCGTAAGTGGATATAGAGCTCTGTTACTTTACCTGGTTTCATCCCCATAATTCTCCTGTGAAGCAGCTAACTTTTTTGCAGCTGTGACACCTGAACCTGAGAGCTAGTGGGTTTATGGGGACCAGTTTGAGGCTGGGTCTTCTGATTCAGCATTCCTTCCACTGCCCCTCAGCTCTGCTGTTACAATGTTGTTCCTCTTATGACTTGCAGTCTGGCCTCCTGTGTGACTGTCTACCAGCTGGCCCAGGCTCTGTCCTCTGGACCCACACCAAACCATCTTAATCCCTTTTCTACATGATTGCCCTGTAGCTATTTGAAGAGTTTATCTCCCCCAGGTCCCCATACTGACTACCTCCATCTTGTCTTTCTCTGTCTTATCCTGGTTCTAGCCACTGCCTTAAATCCTTCTGGGAAGAAGGCAGAACAAAAGAAATCCCCTATCTCACCTCTGAATCCACTCTCTGGGCCCCAGAGCCTCACCTGTCCAGGCTCAGGGGCTCTGCTGTGAACACTCGGGTATTCCTGGGAATTTGCTGTGTGCACAAGCTGCATGTTTAGAAACACAAATGCCGAGCCTTGTCTGCTAGATAGAGTTTTGCCTCCCTGGGTAGTGCAAACGGTTATGTGCTTGGCTGTTAACCAAAAGGTTGGCGGTAGGAGTCCACCCAGAGATGCCTCGGAAGAAAGGCCTGGTATCTACTTCTGAAAAACCAGCCATTGACAACCCTGTGGAGCATAGTTGTACTCGACACACAAGGGGTCGGAGTCGACTCCATAGCAGCTGGTTTTGGTCCTTTGCTGTGCACCTTTTCTCCCCTTCTTCGTGCTTCTCTGGCCTATGCCCCTACCCCAGGGCTAGGTTTGGGAACATCTCTACCAGGGCCTGATCAGCCCTGTGTCCTACCAGGACAAGACGGTGGTGGTGGCAGACTTCGGGCTGTCACGGCTCATAGTGGAGGAGAGGAAAAAGCCCCCAGTGGAGAAGGCCGCCACCAAGAAACGCACTTTGCGCAAGAGTGACCGCAAGAAGCGCTACACAGTGGTGGGAAACCCCTACTGGATGGCCCCAGAGATGCTGAATGGTGAGTCTTGAGGCCTGGGAAGGGCACGCTCCCAGGAGGGGGAATCCCACTGAGGCTACATCTTGCCTCCAGGGAGGCCTGTGAAGTGTAGGACCAGATACCCAGAGCCCAGGGCTGGGTAGTTTTCATCCTTTGCCAGGTCAGGTCTCATAAATTTCCTCTCTGAGCTCAGGGCTGGGAGTTAGTCGTCATCCCATCCTGGAGGAAGGGTGAGGTCTGACTGGCTGTTGTGCCCTAGCGTTTGCCTTTTCTTCTCTCTCCTTGCTGAGAACTGAAGTGTGGTGCCCCCTGGTGGATAATGCTCAAACCAGCCAGAGATGCTAGATGGGATTCTGTAAACTCACATGATTGTGAGGTCTCAGAAATAGCCCAATACAACCCTTTTTGGAGTCTGAGGCCCAGAGAGTTTAGTGGTTTGCCCCAACACACAGCAAGCTGATGGTAGAGCCTGGATGAGTGTGGTTCTCTTCTCTTTACTGCACCACGCACTTTCATCGTGGACAGTGCTGTTTTATAATAACAGGGCTGAGGAAAGGTGATATATGGTGGTACCTGCTCTGGGCAGCCTTTGGAGCATCTCCATGGAACCTGTTCTAGCCCAGGTTCTTAGTTGCGGCTCAGGTTGGCCCTAGGCCCTGTGCAGAGCAGATAAGGGACTTAAACTTAACGGCATGCTCTCCTGTGTTCCCAAAGGAAAGAGCTACGATGAGACCGTGGACGTCTTCTCTTTTGGAATCGTTCTCTGTGAGGTAAGCTCCAGTACAGAGGCCATGCCTGAGGCAGCAGGCCTAGCAGCGCTGTCTTGCCTCAGAACTGGGTGGGGGTTCCTCTGCCTAGGGAGGAGTAGCTCTCCATGAAATTAATCATGGTAGTGTTTTATGGTTTATAACACATCTTCACATCTGCTCACACACTTGAGTCTCACTGGTCCCTTGAGAAGGACTGGATAGAGTGTTTTCAGGTGAGGAAACAGTTCAGGAAAGGGCAGTGGCAATGCGGAACTCTGGTAGAAAAGGCAGGAGGTTTTCACGTGGCTGTCCATCTCCCTCTTGGGCCTAATTCATCCTTGCCCAGTTCCCCCCACTCCCTCCCCTGCCTGGTGGTGCCCCCACCCTCAACCCAACAAGTGGAAGTAGCCACTCCAGGAAGTGGCAGCCCTGTGCTAGGCACTGTGGGGTACAGAGTGAGTTGTGACATGGTTCCTACCCTTGGAGCTTAGCAGTTAGACAGTAGCATATCTCAGTATATCTTGAAGCAGGCAGTTGAACACACACATTGAAAGGCTTCTGTAATTCCCACAAAGTTGTGAGTGGGAGAGGAGAGACAAAGGCCATTTGGAATAATCTAGGAAGGTTTTTTTTTTTTTTTTCAATCGTGGTAGGAATATATATAACAATCTGAGAACCATATAGCTGATAAAGGTCTAATACCCAAAATTTATAAAATACTTCTACAGCTTAACAACCAAAAAAAGACAACCCAATAAAAAACGGGCAAAGGACTTGAACAGACGTTTCACCAAGTAGGATATTCAAATGGCCAACAGGCACATGAAAAAATGCTCAGAGTCATTAGCCATTATGGAAATGCAAATAAATCAAAACCACAATAAGAATGTCAGTGATCAAAAAAACTGAAAACGCTCGGTGTTGGCAAGGCTGTGGAACCCTCATCCATTGCTGGTAGGAATGTAAAATGGTACAGCTACTGTGGAAAACAGTTTGATGGTTCCTCAAAAAGTTGAACATAGTTCTGCTATATGACCCAGCAATTCCACTCTTAGGTATATAACCAAAAGACCTGAAAGCAGCAACTCAAAGAGACATAGACACCAATGTTTGTCGCAGCACTACTCACAATAGCCAAAAGGTGGAAATAACCAAAATGTGCAACAACTGATGAATGGTTACGCAAAATGTAGTATATGTATACAATGGAATATTACTCAGCCATAAAGAGGAATGAAGTCCTGATACATGCCACAACATGGATGAACCTTGAGGACATTATGCTGTGTGAAATAAGTCCGACACAAAAGGACAAATACTGTAAGATCTCACTTACATAAAATAAGTAAATATAGAAACTAAAAGTAATTAGTGGTTACCAGGAGCAGAAGGGAGGAGAAGGAGGGCTTTTGCTTAGAGTGCACTGAAGGTGTGTTAATAGTGATGGGATAAATTTAGAAAAAGAGCAAAAATGGTTGCACAACTTGAAGAATGCAATCAGTGTCACTGAAGTGTACGTGTAGAAAGTGATCAATTGTATGTATTGTGTGTATATTATGGTAAAGTTTTATATATATATATAAAACATTTGCCAATTCAACAATTTTTACATGTATAATTCAGTGACATTGATTACGTTCATCATGTTGTGCAGTCATCACCACTATCCTTTTTCAAGGAAGGTTTTTAAAAAAAAATTTTTTTTTTTTTTTTAAATATCAGTTGAGCATCTACTGTATACAAAGCACTAGGCTGGTGTCAAATAGTATGAGACACCGCCACTGGCCTTACAGAGCCTTTACTCTGACACGAGCCAGAGCAGGGTGGAATGTGTGGAAGCTTCCAGACCTCATGTGCCAATGTGAGACATTGTGCTTCTGCTGCAGTGAGACCCCCTCTAAGTCTTCCTCAGCAGCTGGACTCTCATTCAAGGGACAGATCTGGGTTACCAAGATTTGGAGAGGTGGGCAGAGGGCAGCTCTCTGACCTAGGTTTTTCTCACTCCCTCTCCTGACCATCCTTCCTGCCCACACACCACTACCCTTTCCATGCCATGTGGCTATGGCCTTCTCTGTCTGTTCCTGACCAGCATCTTCTCACCTGCAGATCATTGGGCAGGTATATGCAGATCCTGATTGCCTGCCCCGCACACTGGACTTTGGCCTCAACGTGAAGCTTTTCTGGGAGAAGTTTGTCCCCACAGACTGTCCCCCAGCGTTTTTCCCCTTGGCCGCCATCTGCTGCAAACTGGAGCCCGAGAGCAGGTTGGTGCTACCCCCTTTCCCCAGCTCACGCGGTCCTGGGATGCTTGCCTAGCCTTAGGCTGTCTGACTCTGACACGCCAGACTGTACAGGGAAGACAAGGGTGTAGTAGCACATGACCTCGATGTGATACACAGAGACACAGCTATTAAATTTTAAAAGAAGAAAATTCACCCACACACAGTTGTCATTTCAGAATAGATAGAAATATTTTGTATTTTGTCCTGCATTTTTCAGGTTACTACCCAGTCTTCCTGTTTATCCTTTTTGTTGACTACATGAAATTCTACTAAGAGACTGTCTGAACATATTACAATAAACATCATGCAGACTTCCCCAATTTTTCTGGTTTTTCTTTACTGGAATGAGTAATACTACAGTGAGCATCTTTATGCATTTAACTAATTTCTCCTTTAAGGAAATCTTTTTAAAATTACCTTTATTCTTCTTAGGTTATAGTTTTCATTACTACCAAAGTTAACCCAGGCCTTTCCAAGTTTTTGCATTAGAAAACTAGAATCTTTATATATGTTTGCTTTTTCTACTATCAAAAGTCATGTTTCTTTTAAAAAACAAGTTCAAATGTTGCCAAAATATATTGCTTAGGAAGGATGATAAATCTTCTATTCTACCCCAACCAGTATACCCCTCGACACTCCTCTTACCTCCCCAACTTCACCCTCCAAGACAACCTGTTGGCACATAATCCTTATTTTAAAATGATTTCCAAAGATCCACTTTAGAGGTAGAATTTGCTGGTGGGAGGCTCTGTATCTTGTTCCTTTATGGGCCTTCAGTAACATCAAGGTAAGAGAATGAGGAGAAAATGAGGAGCTACACAGTATTTGTTTGCTAATATCCTTCTCAGTCATTCTAAATATCTGTCTTTAACTCATTTAAGAAATATTTATGGAGCTTCTGCCATGTGCTAGGTGCTGTTCGAAGCTCTTGAGCGCAGTGAACAAAACAAAGATCATTCCCTCATGGCACTGACGTTTTGGCAAGGAGGGATGATAAATACTAGAGTAAATAACCACTGAGTATTAGAAAGTGATAAATGCTATAGAAAAAAGAGTCAAGCCCAGTACAGAGGATTCTTTGGGGGTGCTAGTTGCAGTTTTGAATGTGAGGGTCCAGGTAGGCATCACCCATTGAAGCACAGGCATGGAGGAGGAGGAGTGAGCCTACAGATGTCTAGGAGTCTAGGGCAGATAATCAGTTTCCACAGCAGCAGAGCCAAGTATCTGCATTCTTGGAGGGAGCTGCTGAGTCTAGAAAATGCCCCTTTCCTGCAGATCCATGATGTGGAGACAGGAAGTCTGAGGACTGGAAAGAAATCTTTAAAATGTCACTTTTGATGGTTGCATTTTTTCTAAGACATAGGAGAGTCCTCTTTTCTCTTGGACATTTTTTTTTTTTTTAAGCACTCACCTGGAGGCAATCACACGGCCAGCCTTCTCTCCATGTTAGCGCTAGTCTTAACAACAACCCTGTGAGGCAGCAGTGACATATTATCCCCATTTCCCTCAGAGGCACAGTGAGGTTAAGGGACTTGCCTGAACTCATACAATTAGGAGAGCCTCAGCTGCGGAATATTCCCACCTTGATCCATCCAAGCCTGAGGCCTCCTCCAGCCCCTATCCCATCTGCCTCTAACACTCCTTTTCTTTCTAGACCAGCATTCTCAAAACTGGAGGACTCCTTCGAGGCCCTGTCCTTGTACCTGGGGGAATTGGGCATCCCGCTGCCTGCAGAGTTGGAGGAGCTGGACCACACTGTGAGCATGCAGTACGGCCTGACCCGAGACTCACCACCCTAGCCCTGGCCCAGCCCCCTGCAGGGGGGCGTTCCATGGCCAGCATTGCCCCCTCTGCGCCCCATCCTGTGGCTTCCTGTGGATTGGTGGCTTGTTTAGAAGCAGCACAAGCCATTCCTACTACCTCCCCAGGAGGCGAGCGGGCGTAGCACCAGGGAAACACATCTCCACAGGTTTTGGAGCCTGGTTACTGTTTCTAAACCCAATACTCGCCTGAAAGCTGTGAAGAAGAAAAAAAAAAGCCTGACCAGGAGGAATCTGTTACTTGGGACCACTTGGGAACTCCCTGGCATTGGGTTTCCACCCCCAGAGACTCTGGAGGCTCTTGCCTATGCCAATCAGCATAAGGTGGACCTGCTGGGCAGGATTCTTGGGGGAGCCTGCCTGTGGGCTCTGAAGTCTCTAGTCAAGCTGGTGCACAAAGACTTCAAGTGGGTCTGTGGACCATAGAGACTGGCAGCCAGGTGGCGCTCCAGGGGTGTGAAATGGTAGTGGTGCTGTCCTGCCTCCCCTGGGACGGAGTTGGGCTTAGAAGAGTCTCTTAGTTGGTTTGTGCTGGAACTGGCCAAGAGTTAGGGGAAGGACTGGTTTCTGTTCACTTCCCCGGGGCTGCTCTGGCCAGCCCAGGGACCACATTGATGTGAGGGGAGCTTCCACCTCATCTTCTCAAACTGCAGTACTGGAGACTGGCTGGGACCTTCTGGGCGAGGGTCCTTTCTGCCTGTAACAAGCAGTCACCCATAAGTGCAGGAAAGAAAGAGGCTCTGCCCTCTGAAACACCCATATCCTGGCTACTGTCACACATACCCTAGCGGGCTGCTCAGCTGTAGCCCAGAAGCTTCTTCTCACCAGATTTGCAGACATTTTGCCTAAAGCTAGATGGTCCCTGGAGGACAGAGTAGCTTGTTACAGGCCGAGGATCTCAGACGGGGAAGTGGGAGGAGACAGCATTCTCTTGGCCTTGTGGCAGCCACTACTCACCCTTCCACATCCCTGGTCCAGGCAACATGTGGGGCTAGGAAGAGGTGATGGCAGAGCCTCAGAACTGAGACTCTGAGGGACACAGCTCCCTGAGCTGGGCCAGCTGGCTTCTACCTCCCTTGTTGCTTGGCCCAGTTCACTAGTTGCTGGCCACAGCCCCCTGAGCCACAGCCTTGGGCACTGGACAGCCCTTGGGGCACCCTCTACCTTGGCTTCCAGAGCTCCAGGGGCTCTTCAGCACAACTAGATTTGCCTCTTTAAGTGTCTGTGAGCTTGCACCATATTTAACAAATTGGAAATGGGATTGGGGTATTAATGCAATGTGTGGTGGTTTATTTTTTGGGGGGTGGGGATGGGAGTGATACAGGAGAGTGGTTGCTGTTAATAGTATCTTCATCTTATTCTGTCAGTTGGGTGATACGTGAAATGTTGTAAATAGACCTGATGAGTTCTGGGATCAGATGTCATCTCTGGCCAGAGTTTACTTTCTATCTATACCGTACATAGGTGTAGAGTTTGCACGCTTGCTGTGGGGTTGAGCCCTGGGCTTCCAGTAGCAGCAAGGTTTAGCATTGTGTGGCTGGTTGTGCCTCAGCTGTCCCCAGCAAGTGTGGGAGTGGTGGGTGAGCTAAATTTATTTATCAGACTAAATAAATTAAGCAGTTAATATAACTGATGATACTGAGGTGAAAAAAGTGACTTGGGGCCTGGCTCAGGAAGATAAATGTGAGTCTGTTGTCCTGTGTCTGTGCCAGGAAGTGCAGAGCCTCCCCTGGGCTTTCTAGAGGAACACTGCTGGCTGCCTTCACCCCAGACCACAGAACTCCCCATTCTGATGCTCTCCAAGTCCCATCCTCTTTCCTTGGATTCAGACACTAACTTGGTCCAGAGAGCACACACATCCTACCTAAGGCAGCCCATTCCTGGAAGCAAGTCTGACTGACCCATCAAAGTCTCACAGAGCCTGACTCCCACCTGCTCGCTGAGTGGGACGTTCAGGCCCTGCTTCCCCCAAATCCCCTAACATACATACACTTCTCCAGCCTCGATGTCCTAGTGTCCTCTCCGCAGGGCTAGGTAACACTTTCATGTTGTTAATTGCCTTTGAGTTGGTTCTGACTCTGTGACCCCATGTACAACAGAACAAAATGTTGCCTTATCCTGTGCCATCTTCACAATCATTGTTATGCTGGAGTAAACTGTTGTGGCCACTGTGTGTTTTGAGTGCCTTCCAACCTAGGGGGCTCATCTTCCAGAACTGTATCAGCCTATTCTGTTGTGATCCATAAGGTTTTCACTAATTCATGGAAGCAGATCTCCAGGCCTTTCTTCCTAGTCTTAGTCTGGAAGCTCTGTTGAAACCTGTCCACCATGGGTGACCCTGCTTGTATTTGAAATACCAGCGGCATAGCTTCCAGCATCACAGCAATATGCAAGCCACCGCAGTAAGACAAATGGATACACGGGTGGTGGGACATAATGGGATGAGATAAATGCAGGTCATCCCCACCCCTTGTTTCCCTACAGGTGCTTGAGAGAAAACCTGTTTCTTCTTGCTTTTGCACCTGGGGGAGGGGTAGGCATTGGACAGGATGAAGCTGGCTGGTTAGTGGGGTCCTGGCACAATAAAAACCCATTATACCAAAAGGTGATTTCTCCCAAGTACTCCCAAGGCTTGAGGAATGCAACAGGGGTAGAATGGTTGCTGGGGAACTGATGCTCAGGGTGCCTCTTGCTGGCCATATATAGAGCTATATAGACAGCAATGTCTGGTCTTGGGCAGAGGTCACCCTGGGTGTTCCTAGAGTTCTGCAAACCTGTTAAACTCCCTGCTAGAAGTCTAAGAAACATTCCTGTTAGCTTTTTATTGTGGAGCCCCCGGGACTCACCCCGCAGGCCCTTAGCCCCAGGTAGCCCAACAGCCCATCTCCGCACACCGCTCTTCCCTTTGGCTGCTACAGTACCACCACCCACTCCCATTGACTCCAGCCCTGGACAGGGCTGCTTGGATGCTCGTCTTCACTACCTTGGGAAGAATGCTAGAGCAGGGAGGGTACTGCAGTGACCAACTGCCTTCTTGGGATGTCCGCACACTGTCCTCCTGCAGGTTCATCTGAAAGGATTCCTGGTGAGGACACCAGTCAACAGTTACCAACCATTCACCTGTTGCCACCTCCCAGCTTCCTGATTCAAGACCAAGGGTCAGGAGAGAAGGCTGAAGCTCACCACACAGGTGCCAACAAGGTAACCTACAGCTCCTCAACTTATGGGGCAGTGTTCCTAGTGCACCATAAAAACTTGGCAATGTGGAGTCCTTTTTCATTTTGTTTTTAATTTATATAAGTCAGATGAAGAGCAATTTCCTGCACTTCATATACAGGTGTCAGAACGAGGTATATAAAACATATACAGAGAAATGCTTTTTTAGAAAAGTGGAAACCAGTAATTTCTTCTCCAGCATCACTACCACCAAAGGACCACCCCAAGGCCTAGGTCCCTCAGTAAACAGCCCCAAGGAACAGCCTGCTGAAGGGAATAAGCCATGCTAGCCTCCCTCCCCACCTGACTGGAGTTCAAATGGAAGTGGAAGGGCTTTGGAAAGGAAGCTGTATGGGTGGGGCACACTGTCAAGGCCTCTGAGTGAGACAGCAGGGTGTGGAGACCCTGCTGAGCCCCAGTACAGTGCGGTGGGGAAATTCTGCACCCAGTCAGCAAGCTGAGTTCTCTTGGCCACGCCAGTAGCTTGCTCTATCATGTTCCCTGTGTCCAAATGGCTTGAAGAACCTGTAGGTCCCTTCAATAATTCTATGATTGTTTTACAAGTTAGGGGTTGTGACCCCAGCCCCACTGAAAGGTGCTGGCCTGGGAGCCACAGGGTCACCTGCAAACTTAGGCTCCTCAGGGACAAGCCCTGAAGCACTTTACACCTGGCCTCTGGGCTTAGTTTCCAGGTTAACCTTTCAGAAGCAGTTCACAGGGTCCCACAGTGTAACTCCTACGGGTTAGCTGGCTGCCCTCTTACCCCTGCAAAACGAAGTATGGTCACTGTCCACCCCTGAGGAGACACTGTCTGGGGCTGTCTCTGCCCTTGCAGCCTTAAGGCAAGGAGTGGCTCCTTCTCTACCCTCATCCTAAGTGGAATGTTCAGTGCAGTTCTTCCCTTCCTTTCTTTTCAAAACAGGAAGAGTCCCTGGGCCCAGGCCCAGCCCACAGCTGACAAGGCACATCACTGCCAGCAGGCTGGAGCACTCCCAGCAGCCCCCAGCCTGGGTCCCGCTCTAGGCCTGCAGTTCTGGCTTTTGTACAAACTCATTTCTGGTTCTCAGAGGTCAGTAGGGAGTTCCCATCCCAAAGAGTTTTTTTTTTAAACTGTTAAAAATGCCTCCTCTGTGGACCTGCTTACCTGGACTATGAATAATTGTGTGTCACTCAAGCCCGTGAAGAACAAATGAGAAGGTGGAGCCTGAGGCCATCTCAGATGATAAAGCACAGAGCAGCCTGGGGGGGCTCCCTGTCTGTCCCTGGTTTGGTTCTGGGGGTGCAGGCAATGTCTGGAAGCCCTTGTCAGCAGCGCCATCCACAGGCAAAATCCTGCTCCAAGGGTTGGAGAAGGAGCACTGGCAGGACCCTCCCCAGCCTGGCCCTTAGCCCACAGCACCATCCGTTTCTGTCTGCTACTGGGACTCACACACAAAAGAAAGTGGAAGGAGGGTTTTAACCACAACAAAAAGTGTGGGGGGTAGGCTGTCCTACATCACTGTCTCACAGGCTCCTGCCCACTGTGGGTGCTCAGGCCCCTGGAGTGCCAGCCTGGTCCATGAGGGGAGTGCAGCCCTCCTGAAGGCTGACTGGAGTCTGGCTGGTGTGGACCGCAACAGTTTTCTCATCCACGATCTCACAGGTGGGGTTGGTGAAGGCAGATAAGGGCAGGGTGATTCGCTGCATCTCCCTCTCACACGCTTTCTGTTCATGCTGTGCTTTCAAGTCCTTCCCCCTGTCAGGAAAGAGGGAAGCGTTCAGGCTGCATGCTCATTAGACAGCACCCCTGAGGCCCAGAGAGGCAAGGCTAGCCAGGGTCACAGCAAGTTAGGACTCAAACCCAGGTCCAGGATACTAAGTTTCCATCCTGCCAGACTGCCTCAAACTCAACAAGGAGCTCCTGCACCTCTTGTCTCTGCTTCCTCATTTGTAAAACAAGGATGAAGCAGTATGAACCTCACACTGCTGTAATGAGGCTCAGTCAAGGTAATGTGGACGAAAGAGATTTTTAAAGCAAGAAGGAGTTTTGTTCCTTCAGCCCAGGGCTTTGAAAGACCAGAGAAGTATCCCAGCTTCAGCCCTTACCCATAAATTTGTCCAGAAAACTGACCCAACCATCTGTTCTCATGTGAGCCCAGGCTAGAAATAGGGACCGTCCCCAACCCCTTCGGGGGCAAAAAGGACTCTAAGGGCTGCTTAGGTCAATGGGAAACAATGGATAATGACCATCCTGTGAGACCACTGAGCGTTTTCACATACCTTTGGATTCTCATGGTGCTCAGTGACCCAACCAGGCCACAGTGTTACCTCATTTTACTCATGTGGAGTGCTCACGCCATGCTAACAGATAATATATATTTTCTTTATTGCATATATTTTACATATATTATTTCACTCTCAGCTCAACCATAAGAATTAGGTCTCCTCACTCATTTTGTAGACTCATTTTATGACCCAGAGAGATTAAGGAACTCTTTAGGACATAGTGGGCTCAAACCCAAATCTGTTGGGCTGTGGTTGATCTCAGAGAAGTTCTGACCCTGTCAGGTCACCCCACATGGAATGGCCGGGTAGGGACTCTTCTGGTCCCACATGCAGGGCTCTGCCCACTGAGCCGGGCCACCCCCTGTGCAGATCAGAGGGCTTGGTGAGCGCAGAGCACATTGCACACCAGAACCAGGGCCCAGGGCCCAGGTCAGCATCCTCCAAAACCAGCAACAGCAATTCCCTACACCTGTGGGCTCAGCCATCAGAGGAAATCTTCCCAGAATAGGCCCACCCTAAAGAGGCCTTGAAAGAGTGGCTGGTGGCTGACTGAGTGAAACAACACAGGCTTGAGTTGTCCTCAGGGGGGGCGAGCTCAATCACACATCCATCATGATGTGAAGTGCAGTGACAAAAGCTGGAGACTGGAGACGAAACTGGGAAAAAAGAGGGCTGGAGTGGGGACAGTTTGCCCTGTGGCCTTAGAACTGACTTTAAATCATCCAGTTCCCTTTACTTGTGTTCTAGAACATGCTCAGCAACTGATTAGCTGTGTGACTGTTGGGGCAAAACACGTAGCCTCTCTTGAGCCTTGGCTTCCTCATCTGTGAGATGAGGATAGTATCTACCTCACAAATATAATGAATGTGGAAGTGTTTTGAAAACACTGAAACTACTCTACAATCATAGGCAGTTATTATGATCTGTCCTGAATATGATTTGACTCACGAAGCAATGTTATCTTAGTTTGGTTTCTCAAGGAAACTCTCCTACTGACCAGCCAAGGCAAGTATTATTTATGTGACCTTAGCGACCTTCCTTTCTTCATCTGTAGAACATGGAGCTGAGCCTGATCATCTCTAGAGCCCCTGACAGATCCCTCACATGATCCCCTGTTTCTGACTGTGAGGTCACAGGTCACAAGAGTCAAATCTGTGAACTCATCCTCGAGTCACCCTGGGTGATTGAGGGTGACTGAGCTTCAGAATGTGCAAGCCTGAGGTTCAGCCTCTTCCCATCTTTGTTGTTAGCTTCTGTATTGGACACCACCAACTCCCAGAGCAGAATAACTCCCAGCACATGCAGAGGGGAAATGAAGGGACACTGTCCACGCGGAGAGGGCTGGCTGGACCATGTGTGCCTCACTGTAGCCTGAGATTCACTTTGTTCATCAGGTACAGCTGCTGCCACACAGAAGCCAACACCTGCCTCCATAATAAAACAAAGCCAGGTTCTTCAAGGTTGCCCATGTAGAGAGAAACTTGGAAGGCCTTGGGTTCAATTTTATTAATGGAGTCCCCAAGCCAGTGGGAAACCAATTTACAAATGAAATGGAATATGTGAGCATCTTTTACCAAGGCCTGAATTTCAAAATCTAAGGGGCTGGAGGAAACCCTGGTGGCATAGTGGTTAAGAGTTTGGCTGGTAACCAAAAGGTCAGCAGTTCTAATCCACCAGGCACTCCTTGGAAACCCTGTGGGGCAGTTCTACTCTGTCCTGTAGGGTCGCTATGAGTCAGAATCAACTTGACGGCAATGAGTTTGGTTTTTTTTTCTTTTTAAGGGGCTGGAGGAAGGGGAAAAGCTGGAAACTTCCTAAGTACCTACTAAGATGCTGGGAAATAGCCTTCCCATTATCCAGGAGAAGAGATACCCACACCCCTACTGGAGGCAAGCACTTTACATATATACCATCTCCTTTTAATTCCACACCAACTTTGCAAGATAATATGATCCCAATTTTACAGATTAGGAAACAGGCTTTGGAGTCTGACTCCAGAGCCACTGTTTTTCTCAACTACCTTCTTCACCAAGCATCTGGCTATGGCCAGGCAAGCTGCTGATAATGGTCAGGCTGCATCATGCCCAAGTCTTTAGGGGAAAAGAACCCATTTGTATTAATGGGGCAGAGCAGGGCTGGAAGAGCAGCCAAGGGTAAAAGAAGCAGGTGCTGGAGCCAGTCTGGATGACAGTCTCAATTGAGAGGCCTTGAAACACACCCAGCTTCACACACCTCCTGTTGAAGGTGCCTGGAGATGCAGCAGCCACCCCAGCTCCCTCTGGAGATGGGAGAAGGGCCATCAGGCCTGCTGTGCTGACCATCAGGCAGTGCAGCTCCCTCTCACTGCCTGCGGGGGCAGCCGGACTGTTGTCTGGCAGCCAAGAAAGAACAAAAGGTTTATTCACTGACTTGGCTCCTCTCCTAAGTGGGTGGAGTGGTGTTGACTTAGTTTTTCCCTTGCCTTTTTTATTTATTTCTTTCTTTTAATTGTACTTCAGGTGAAGGCTTACAGAACAAATAGTTTCTCATGAAACAGTAGTACACATATTGTTTTATGACACTGGTTAACAACCCCACAACATGTCAACCCTCTCCCTTCTCGACCTTTCTTTTTTTGTAACAATATACATAGCCAAAGATAAACCATTTCAAAAATTTCTACATGCACAGTTCAGTGACATCGACTACACTCTTGCAATTGTGCTGCCACTCTCACTTTAGATGAAGGCTTACAGAACAAAATAGTTTCTCATTTAACAGTTAGTACACATGCTGCCCTATGACAATGGTTAACAACCTCACAACACATCAACCTATCCTCACTCAACCTTGGGTTCCCTATCACCAGCTTTCCTGTCCCCCTCCACCCTCTGGCCCTTTACCCTGAACTGCTGTGCCTCATTAGTCCCATTTGGTTTTATGGGGTTCCCTTGCCTTTTTATCAGAAAATAAGAGCACCCTCCAAAGCTAGAGCGACACTACTCTTGGGGTAGAGACGGAGCTGCTCAGTCGCAGACTAGCCGTCTGACCCTTGTGGCTTAGACAACCAGGACAAAGACCCTGCCAGGCTGAGCCCTTCCAGCCCCACCTGCCACCACCCTTCCTCCCCCAAGAGGAAGCCTGGTGCCCGTCCATCCTTCCCAGCCAAGGGAAAGCTCCATCCATTAGCCACAGCTTCATGGTCTTTGGCAGAGTTCAACGCTTGCATTGATTCTATCCCTGACTGCTCCCAGGCCAGTACCAGGAGCCAGGCTGGCCAGAGGGACCAGGTGCAGATGGCTCTGTGGCCTGCCTCTAACTTCCTCCTTCTGGGTTGACGGAGGCACTGCAGACCTCCTTCAGGGAACACAGGTTTCTTCAAATTATTACATAACCCTGAGCAACTGCTATCTCCCCAGTCAGAAACAGTACTGTGCCCCACCGCTGGGCAGGAAAAGTCCCCCAAAGCAGTTATGGGCTGTAAGCACCAACTGTATGCCCTAACTACACTGTCTGATTTCATCCTCACAATAAACCTATGTGGTATCCATTATGATCTCTGTTTAGAGATGAGAAGGCAGGAGCAGAGATTAAATCTTTTGTTTAAGTGAATGGCAGAGCTGGGATTTGAACCTAGGACTGCCTGTCCACGGCCAGGCAGTCTGTCTTTTTAGGATATATTAGGGCTGGGAGGATCATCATATGTAACCCCTTCCCCTACACTATTTCACAGATAAGAAAACTGAGGTCCAGAGAAGGTAAATGACTTATCCAGTGTCACACCCATAATTGGTGCCAGTGCAGCAACTAAATCCCAGTTCTTCTGACTTCTAACCCCAGCTATTTTTTTTTAAGTTTCTATTGCTCCTACTTTGCGATTCAAAGCACATTTACATGAGGCTACTGGGTGTCACTGGACTTTTTGAAGATATTGACAATTCTTAGACACCACTTACTAGCTGTGTAACTTGGACATGGTACTCCTCTAGGTAAAACGGTATAATAGTGCTCCTTCTAGAGTGATCGTGAGGCTTAAGACAAGATCATCTGGGAAGAGCACTCACTAGGGCCTTACACAATAAATGTTGGCTGCTGCTGTGATTATTAACTGATTCATATCCTACTGTTCACATTTAATCCTCATGATAATCTTGGGCAGGTAGGTGCAGGGAGGGCATGGGTATATGTGGAAGGAGGTGTATCCCCATTTAACAGACAAACTGAGGTTCAGAGGAGGGCGCTCAGCCTACAGCTCTTTCCAGGACACTGTTTTCTGATTTGGGGGAGAGTTAAAACCTGCTTTGTACGTGGAAGCTGAGGGCTTGCCTCCAGCCCACATGTGGTTTCCTGTTGTACACTGTGTTCTCAGAGCATTTTTGCTGAAGAAAGGGGCGGTCTGGTGGTTAGTGACGGGTAGTCGGGTGACTAGGTGCCTTGCCCTCAGTTTACAGGAAAGCAACTTCTAAGCCTCAGGGCAAGTCGCGTGACTGTCTAGGGGACCAGATCTAGAAGAAAAAGGTCTGGCTTCCTCATTAGGCACCAGAACTGAGCTCGGAATTAAGAACAGTTAGTTAGTTCCAAGCACCTGGAGGCCTGGAAACTGTCACAAGATTGGAGGAGAGCCAAATGCTGTCTAGTGGCTGAGGAAGGAGGAAATATTTGAAGGGCTAAACTCAGCCATATGGTTTGGGTGTGACTATGAATTCTAAGGCCAGGGCCACCATATCATTTCTTCTGAGTCTCTAAAACAGTCAAGGAAATGAAAAAGCACGTATATCTGGACCTAACACGTCAACCATCTACCTGGGGGCAACAACAGTGGACTGGGAGTCAGAAGACCCTCTCAGGCCAAGCACTTCCCCTCTCTGGACTTCTGCTTCTGAATCACAGACAATCAAAGAAGGACTGGGGCTCAGAGAGCACTCATCCAGCCCCCACATTTTATAAGATAAAACAGCTATTGTTTACAACGTGCCATGCACTGTCCTAAGTAATTACATGCCTTCACCCGACAGCAATACTCTGGAATAGGAAATAGAAGGAACTTGCCCAAAGTCACACAGCTAGCTAGTTAGTGGCAGGGCTAGGAAATTAGCTCCACCAAATGCTAGGTGTGTGACCTTGGGCAAGGTACATATCTCCTCACCTCAGTTTCCTCATCTGTAAACTGGGGATAATAACAGCATTTCTCTCAAAGTGTGATTGTGAGAATTGAGTTAAAGCACGTAAAGTGCTTGAAGCAAAGTCTAGCATGCGGTAAATAAGAATTATTATTACCCAACACTGCCCTATTTTCATTTGTAAAATGAGGATGGGTCTAAGGACCCAGCTCTGACACTCTAGGTTTATATGATGCTGTGTGACCCACTGGAACTGTGGACTCAAACGTGGTCCTCCACACTGGGGAGTGCAGGCCACCATGTCACTTCCCCTACAGGAAGCCTTCTCAGACCATACAAAAATATCATACATACACAGGGTTGGAAGTCAAACCCCCTTGATTTTGCCCAGGAACGGCAAATGATTTTGCCAGAGTCAGTCAGTGCTGTAAAAATGAATGCCACTTTGGCTTGTCATCAGTGAGATTCTGAGAGCCTTTTCCACATGGTGTCTTGAAGACTTTTCAAAATAGAATTCCTCCTCTTACCGTCCCTGAGTTTCCCAGGTAGCCTCTTCGGCTTTCTCATACATGATGAGGACTGGCAAAATTACACAGGCTCTCTGTTTTCCAACTCACTTTCTTCTCCTGTCCTAGAGGAGATCCCATTGCCTATGGGATCCTCAGGAAATTCAAGCCCCAACTGCAGAAAGGGTGGCTAGGGACCTTTCCTAGCAGTAGAATTTTACAACTCACAAAAAAAATTCAGTCTCCTGGTCGCTGCAATGAGTGCCCAGCCTGATTTCTGCAGAGCCACCCACTTCATGCCAGGCACCCTGGATTAGACAATAGGGAAAATGGTATCAAAAGAGCTGAGCTTGAGCCAGATTCTGCAACTCCCAGGCAGTGTGACCTTGGGTAAGTCACTTCACCTCTCTGACAACAGCTTTCTCATCCGTAATATGAGAAACTAGAACCCCTACTCCATAATGCTTTGGGTGAGGAGGAAAGGCACTATGTCCAACCACCAGGTGAAGACTAGAAGCAAGTCTCTGTATTATAAGCTGGTTTTAATCTTTCAACACCTTGCTTCCTTTTTGTGTAAGAATGCCTCGGAAGAATCTGGTTTGACTTTGTGTATGTTCCCCTCTCCTCTTAAGAGAACCCAGAAGGGAAGCTACTTACCTCTTATAAGTATAGCCCAAGATGATGCCAATTCCAATGGCGATGATGACCACCATCATGGTGATGCCCAGCACATAGCCTGCCAAGGAGAAGACACAAGTCTCATTAGCCACATTCTGGACAATCAGCAAATGACATCTCTTGATGGATCCAAAAAGGACAAGGGTGGAGCAGTCATACCCAGGGTCCCCAGGTCCTTCTCCTTGGAGTTCATCCGCACCCGCTGGCTGATACCAATCACAGGCTGCACTGCTGCTGCCTCCCTCCGGGCGGGTAGGGCGTTGGCAGGAGGGAACACCTGTGCTTCATCTTCCCCTGGCACTTCAAAGGCCTCCTCCGTTTCTGTTATGGGGGCTGGTGGAGCCTGGGAAGGGATCTCTGGAAGTGAGGTGGGAAATAGCTCTCATCAGAGACTGTCCCGAGTGAATTCCACATCTGAACCTGGCCTGAGAGTTGGCGATGTTAGGGAGATCCAACTTAGAATGCCCCCCACCCCCACCCCACACACAAATACTGAAATCAAACCCTGTCCCAGGACTAAGATCTGGAAAGGCCAGCCCTGAGAGTGCTGCACCATGGTTGAGACAAGGCAAGTGTGAGGGGAAGCCACAGAGAAAGGTCTCATCTCCCGCCTCCCACGTTTTCATCTGTTCAAATCCCTGCTATCCTCCAAGCTCAGCCCAGTGCCGACTTCTCCAGGGGACCCCCCCGCCCCACCGCAATACACGTCAGGAGGCACCCCATGACTCCTCCGAGCAGCTCACATTCATTGAGCCCACGCTTTGTGCCAATCCCTGTGTTATTCCATTTAATCCAAAGAACTGTGTTGTTGCTTCCGAAGCAACAAGTCTGCGCTGTGGAGTCTAAGAAACTTAGCTTCAAATGTGGGCCCTGCCAGTGCCTCTAGGAAGTTGCTGAACTTCTCTGAGCCTCAGATCCCCCCAGCAGCTTCTTCCCCGGGGGGCTGTGAGCAGTATCCAGCACACAACACACTCTCCATAAATGATCAATAAAAGCCAAGGGGGTCGCCGAGGGCCACCGCCCCAGGGCGCGGTCCAGTGGTAGCCCAGAGGCAGCGCGCGAGTCGTGGAGCGCTCGGCCGGGGGTGGGGGCCCGCCTCCTCCGGTTGTTTACAAGGCGCTCGCGGAGGATGAGCTCACTCTGAGAGGCGGCGGCGGCCAATGGGCTTTCGGCCTCACGGCCTGGAGACAACCCTGGCCAATCGGAAGGCGCGGGGGCGGGGCCGGCCGGCGTCGCCAGGCCGCACGTGCGCGGCGAGTGTAACGGCCGCTCCTAGTCAGGCCTGGCGGTGGGGTCCACGTCCCGGGCACCCGACTACCTGGGCAGCGCAAGTCTTCGCACCGCCGCTTTTCTGGGGCGCCGGCCTTGCCGCTGACGTAGCACCAGGGCCCGCGCGGGTCCTGGTCCGGGTTTCGGCAGTAGCTGTGGTTGCTGGCGCCTAGGAGTGGAGAGAAGGTGCTGTGGTTGGGGCCCGGGCCGCGTCGCCGCCCGCCGCCCGCCGCCCGCGGCGTACACTCACCAGCCTCGGGGGCCAACGCCAGGCTGCTCTGCGCGTCCAGCCAGTTAAGGCAGCGGAGGCCCGGCGCCGGCGAGGTCTGGTCCGCCCAGTACAGGTGGCCGTTGTCCCAGAAGCAGCCTGTGAGGAAGAGGAGCGCCAGACACTGAGTCTGGCCGGGTCTCCGTCTCCTCGCGCGGAGACCCACCGGCCTCCTAGCGCTCTTGTGAGGCCCGAACGAGACAGAACAAGAAAACGCGTGCAGAGCCCCTAGCTGGTGCTTAGCCCACAGTCAGCGCTCAGAGAATGCTCGCTTTTTTTTTGTGTCAGCCCGAAAAGCGCTGTAGAAACGCAAGAGATTGTTACTCTGAACTTGTGGCCACTTTGGAAGAGGCCGGCGTCTGGGTCGGAGACCCTTTGGAGATGGTGGGCAGCCAGACCTGAAATTCCTCCCTGTGGTATAATGTCCCTGTTATATAAACTCTGCTGTGCCCTCCGCGGTACGACCACCCCTGCCAGGTTCCACAGGCAGTATTTCCTCCAGAGAGAATTCTACAATAGCCTTGACTCAGTCAGGCCAAAGGTTCCAGAGCATCACCGTAGGGAACCTGCCTCGCTGCTGCCAGAATGTGACTCCAAACCCCCACTCCCCTCAGCCGGAGCGTCCCAGGAGGAGACTGGGCTTGGCCACACTATGCAACGGCCCCACGAAGAACAGGGTGCTGGGAGTGGGGGAGATCAACCCCCAAACTCCATCAACTTAGGAGCCCCAGGCAAGGAAAGGGAAAGAGAAAGTGGCTACTTGCCTTTGTTCTGAATAGCAAAGATGGAGCTGCCAGCCCCTGCTAGGGATAGGAAAGGGAATAAAAGCTTTCTTAAGAGAAGCCAGCTGAGAGCTTCGTTTCCTTTCACATCTTCCTGTCTAGCCTCAGCATGGTGGGAAGGGGGGAGCTTTCCCCGTTCTGCTTCATTAAGTTGTTGCAGAAGGGAAAGCTTGTAATCTTACCTCTGGCTCCATAGGCTTCTGCTAGGAGCATGTTGCTGACAAGGACTGTTTGCACCCAGGCCAGCAGCATCCTCGCCTCCGCCGTCTTGCAGGTAGATGGCGGTGTCCAAAGTGCGGGCAATCGTGGTCCCCTGGGCGGCAGCGCTGCCTCCCGTCCCAGCCTTGCAGGCCGACCTGCCCTTGTTCTGCGCTTCTTGTAAACAGCCTCTCTTTAGAACTGGGAGCTACCCAAGCTCGCTGCTGCAGCAGCGCGAGGTGTTTTCGGCGGAACGGCGCCCCCTGGGTCCTAAGCTCCTGTGCTTGCAAGGTCGCTGACCCTGGGCCCAGAGAGGAAGCCAGCCTCTGGGAGAGAGGCGAGGGAGGTAGGCTGTGCTGAGCAGCGGACCAGTTTGAGACCTGCACGGCTGCATCCCCAGAGCTTATCATCTCTTCTGTTCCATCTGTGTGAGTACAGAAACAATAATTCAAGAGGCATCATGGGGCAAAAGCAACTTAGGAGATGTTAGCTGTACAATCAGGAGGAGTTCAAGGTGAAGTAAGGTGGAAGAAACTCCTTATACTCATTCTTGGGGGAAAAAGGTGGGGAGGTTATGGTTTATACAAGCTTATGAACACGGATGCTTTTTTTTTTTTCTTAAATAGTGTAATTTTGCCAGGGTCAGATCAGTCACATTCCTTTCTTTTATTTGGAAGTTGGGGTTTGGGGTGTCATGTATTGTAGGAATACAGAAAGAAATCTCTATAGTTGAAAACATATATAATGCAAACATTGGAAATTTGCTCAGCTCTAGTGCAATTAATAGTCTGTTCTTTCTACCAGCCTTGAATTCATATGGAGGTAGTTAAGTAAAATGTTTGCTTTTTGTCCCCCGCCCTGTGGGAAATCCATTTGAAGTGATTTGTAGCATCATTAAACCTCGCCACATCCATATGATTTGAGCCTTTTGGAGTTAGGCAGAAGGGCCCTTTTCCTGTGTGGCTGACAGTTCAAGTTCCCAGGCAGCTTCAGTAAACTGAGAGAACAGAGTGATTTGCCAAAACTACCTTGTGACTCAGGCAAATCCCGAAATAGAAATGGAGACTGTTTCAATCTGTGGGCTTACATTTTGTAATTTAGGGAGAAGAAAAGAATCTTGACTAAATAAGCCTCAAATGCTTTATCAAGGAAGAAAGCTAATGGCAATCCAGCTAACCTAAAGTGAATCTCAACTCACTACAGATTTCAGACATGGAAGGGACAGAAAGATAAATTTAGTTCATCTTTAAAATAGTTTGCTGACAGTATTTTGATTCCTTTAGTCCATTTAGTAAGATATGTTGCTTTGTTTTTGCAGTCACTCTCCTATTTACCCACACAAGCATCTGATCCTCTGCTTCCTGAATTTGTTGACACTGGGAGTCACACTCTGGAATCTGTAAATTTACACACACACACACACAGAGATATGCCAGAATTTTAAATTTAACAATTTTAACAATATTCCATCTTTTAACACTTTAATTTTATAAATGTTTCTAAGAATCTACTACATGCTATAGTTCTAGCTATTGGTACTTCTTCTGTTAACAAAATATTCGAAAATCTCTTGCCTTCAGGAAGATTATAATCTAGTGGTGAGAGATAGATGATAAATATACAAAATTCAGGTGGCCTTAAATGGTATGGAAAAAAAGTGAAGCAGTATAAGGGGGAGAGAGTAACTGGGCGGTATTTCACTTGCTCAAGAAAGCTTGCACTATTTTCAGGGAGCCAGTAGGATATTTCTGTAGGCAAAAAGCTGAAGGGGAAGGGCTCTTTGCACAGTTTTCCTTGAGGGTCCCATATTTATTCTTATGCCACTGCAAGATATATATGATGTGTATTTTGTTTCATTATATAAAATATATAGGCTTGAGAAAATAATAGTGTAGTTTTTAATTTCAGAGTAGCAGGGAGTTCTTTGATTTGAACCCTTAGCACCTAATCTATTGCTTTTGTATGCAGTAAGGGCTTAATTCTTGTTGTCTGAGGAAGTGCCCTTCCTTAGACTCTGCGGACTTCTTCAGCTGGATTATAGTATTTTCCCCTCTGATTACAACAGAGACAGGCTCTACACAGACCAGCAGTTGTACCATTTTCAGATTCTCTGCTGTGCCCACATATGGGTGCCAAGTATTTCTACCTAAGGAGTCCAAGACTTCCTTACCTATTGCTGTTACCAGATTTTTCTGTGAAACTGTTATCTTCCCCAAAATATATACATTGATATATACAGCAAAACCATATTTTATGCCATGTGTCTTATCAGGAACAGCACTGTCTAAAAAAAGATATGAAACAAGCCAGGAGGAGATTTTTTTCAGGTTAGTCGTCTCTGCTTTTTCTCCCTCGTAACTAAGACATTTATCAGTGTGATTTGATTGTTTCAGGAATGAAGGACCTGTTTCTCAATCCTTCAAAAGCAGATTCTATTATAATAGATTCAGTACCTTCCATCTTCAAGGAAATCAGATTTAGTTCAGAGACATGCCCATCATCATCATCGACTGTCTTTTTTTGATGATCCACATTTGAATTTTGCTTCATGTATTGATGCAAAGTGGCCATGTTTTCTGGCCTATAGTTACTCCGAGCTTCAGATTTCTTCTGAAAATATTACTGCAATAACAATATGATACCCATTACCCGTTGCCGTTGAGTCAATTCTGACTTATAGTGACTCTATGGGACAGAGTAGAACTGCCCCATAGGTTTTCCAAGGAGCAGCTGGTGGATTTGAACTGCCAACGTTTTGGTTAGCAGCTGAGTTCTTAACCACTGTGCCACGAGGGCTCCGTAATATGATACAGCCCTCCTCAAATACTCATTCTGTATTGTTTATATCCCTGAAGACAACATAGTAAAATACAACACTCATATTTTACTATTTCAGGAATGTTTGGCTCTTTGCTTAACACTAATCTAGAAGACAAAGGTGTACCCTTAAATGAGGAAATGGCCTCCAAAGTGTTTCCCAAGTAGAATGGACAGTTCATTTTGTAACGGGATATGTTAGTGGGGCAGCTCCAATAAGGAAGTCATAAAGATGTTAAAAGGCTTAAGAATCACTTTAGTCAGCAAAAGAGGTCCAAGATGTTGATAAAAATCTTTGGAGTAAACACTAATGAGTTGGCTCCAGCTTTTCTGTCCATAGTAGTCATTGGGATTGTGCTGAAAGATACTTTGATGTATAATTGCAAACTAAGCAGGGGATAGTTTTATGAAGCTTGTTAAGGAAATAATATTCTAGTCAAAATATCTAAATCCCAAGGCCATTTCTTTGAAAGTATGGCTTTCAATGAATTTGGTTATTTACATTTTTTTGTGTTGGGTACGTAGTTAATTAATAAATGTTTGAAATAAAAAGGAAAAGCAGAATACCATGTAAGGAAAAAGAGTCTAATAAGCCTACAGAGAACAGAAAATTTTTTACGGTAAACAATAAAATAGCCAAGAAGGCTTGTTGATCACAGGTTACTTTAAGAAACAGGACATTCCATAGTTGGAGGACTGAGAAGCCACAGAAGCAGAGAATTTGGGAACATCACTGGTTTTGAGAAATAACAAGAAGAGCAAATTCCTGAGTAAGAGTAGATTTTGACTTCGAGGCTAGACTTAGAAAACATGGCTTTCAAGTTGAAGAAAACATAGTCTTCTCTGCCACAGGGAGAATGTTAGAGACTATACTGGTTGATAAGACTAGGTTGTCAATATTTGAGGTGAACTAGCCTAGTAAGTGGAATCCCTGGGTGATGCAACTGTTAGCACACTCGGCTACTAACCGAAAGGTTGGAAGTTCTAGTCCACCCATTGGTGCTCAGAAGAAAGGCCTGGTGATCTACTTCTGAAATATCAGCCATTGAAAACACTATGGAGAACAGTTCTACTTTGATGCACATGGGATCACCATGAGTCAGAATTAGCTTGATGGCAACCAACAACAACAGCAGCAGTTACAATTATGCCTCTCTTAGAAGGGGTTCTGATGTTCTCCAATCTCAGTAAACTGGCTCTGCAGCTTTTAAAATTTGTCAACATTCAGTACAAATTTAGCACTGACTTTTTCAGCAGGAGAAGCAGTGTATCAAATAGTTAAAGAGTGTAGGCTCTAGAATGACCTGGGTTCTAGTCTGAGCACTGCAGTATAATCCTGGGTAAGTTACTTAGCATCTGTAATTCTCAGTTTCCTTAGCCTACTATTATTGTGGTTAAGAGTATAGGCACCAATGTCACGATTTAAATTCTAGCTCTGTCACTAGCTGGGTCATTTTAAGCAAGCTGTATGACTCAATTTCCTCATATGAAGGGGAGAGGGAGAGATAAAAATAGTATCTGCATATATTTGCTATCTTAAAAAATCTTACAATCTAGTTATAAAGGTCAGACAAGCACATATGAAAACAAAAACAATATAGGGCAGTATATAAGTAGTCATTAAAGAGTCTGGTACAGACAATAAGGTTTATTCATTCAATGAATATTAAGTGTCTGCTGTGCACCAGGCAGGCACTAAGCTGGGTACTGAGGACATAACAGTGAACCCCACATAGTCCCTGTTCTTGGGGAGCTCACAGTGTAGTGATAGAGCAGATTAGTAGACAGGCGGTAACAACACAGTGAAATAAATGCTACAGTAGGGATTAGTACTGGGGATTGTGGGCACTCACAAGAGGGGCATATGCCCTAGTCTTAGATGGTCAGAAAAGACTTGTCAAGGAAGGGAAATCTGAAAATGGGAAGGAGTTAGCATTCTCAGCAGGTGAAGCAATGTGCAGAAGCCTGGAAGTATAGGCTACTATCGTGGCTAATACAGCGTTAAAAATGAGGCCAAACAAATCAAAAACAAAAAACGTGAGATTAAAGAGGTAAACCCTTGCCAGTCAGGTTATGGAGGTCCCTGAGTGACAGGTTAAGGAGTAGGGACTTTATCCTGAAGGCAGTGAGGATCCAGTAAAGAATTTTAAGTAAGAGAGTGACAGTCAGACTTATATTTTAGGAAGATCACTCCAACCACCCCTGGAGGACTGGAGGAAGCCAAGAGGGAGGTGGAAGACCAGTGAGGAGGCTGCTGCAGTGATCTAGGTGAGAGAGACTAGTGACCTGGACACAGGATTTAATCATGATAAACAGCTCAGTCCATCTGAGTTTGAATCCTGCTCTGCCATTTAGTAGTTATGTGACTGTATGC